TGGATCAACAACTGCATTGGTGCCTTCAATACAAGATATTTTCTCATTTACCTCTTCACTCTGACTGCCATGGCTGCAAACCTTGCAATCATAACAACAGCATTTCTAATCCAAGTAGTGCTGCTATCAAATATGATGCTTGGAAGTTACATTGATGATCAGGGGCAAGAGCATGCAGTTGAGATTCTCTTTCTTATTCAGGTAAGCTCACTGTAATGTCTGAGTTTTAATCTATTTCTGGGCTTGTAGCCTGAACAAAGGGGTTGTTTTTGTCTCATCTCCTAAGAATCTTGCAGTAGGTCCAGCTGTTCTGTTTTGTGGGGGGAGCGAGCCATTATAGTGAACCTCTTGTAGTGAACCCACTTTTGCTGCTCTAATTAGTCACAATCATTCCAAGGAACTTAAAAATATTTTAGAATGGCAGTTTCCAGTCTCTACATCTCCAAACCAATTATATCCAATATAAATCTTTGATCTCTATAGAAATAGCCTTATAAACATCAGTTACCATATACTGTACTAATGTTTTTAAAGTAGTTCACAACCTTGTTTACTGTTTGAGATGTCCTTTGGAAGAGATGTTTAACTTCTATTGGCCCAGAGAGGTCTTGGTTTAAGATCGCTGGGTGTACATACGTACGTACACACACACGTGTCCTGGCCAGTATTGTTGCTCACACTTAAACAAAGGTGAGTTTTCATGTGAGTTTGTTTGTTTTTTCATTTGACACCACCGACTACTGCGATGTTAATACTATATATTGATGCCACCATACTTCTGGCTGAGAAAGGAAGACTCATTTTTGGAGCCTGCTTAAGCATGGCTGAGTGATAGGAAGCAATCCATCTCTGTCTTCCATGCCCTGAGCCACCAACAGCTCTTTCAGCCAACTCTCAAATCCCAAGTTAATTTCTCTGTCTGTAATGGAACCCATCACCCTAGAATTCAGATACATTAATTCATGTTTGTGAAGTATCTTCACAACCACTCCATGTGGGATTTTAATCCAAAATATGTCTTAACTAACACTAAAGCTGCAACCATAAATCACCAAAATCCAATAAATTAAAAATGAATCTGATGTCACCATTAAGTATCAGGTATTTTTTATCTTTATGGTGTAGGTCATCCACACAATCCTGTGTTCAGTATGCAAATTCAGAAGCTTGAGTGTCCCTTCATGAACAAATTCTGTGAGGAAATATGTTCCTGAAAATCTTTAATTACTAAAGGCTTCATATGGGATTCACCATCTCTGAGCTGGTTATACTGTGGTTAATAGAGCAAAATCAAAATGTTTTAAAATGGGACTTTATACACTATGACTTTAAAATAAGTTACTATTTTATCTGTCTTTGCAGCACCTGTTCCTGACGTTTCCTAGAATTGTCTTCATGCTTGGTTTTGTTATTGTCCTATCTCTGGTGCTGGGGGCATATTGCTGTTTCACCCTGTACCTGGCCCTGACTAACCAAACATCCAATGAATGGTATAAATCTAGAAGCTATGAATGTTCTTGCTGTCAGGCATTGCTGCCCCATGACAGGCATACTGTTTACAGAAATGTTTATTCTCAAGGAGTTTGGGTCAATTTAAAGGAAATCTTTAAACCTCCTACGAGTTCAGAAAAAAAGAAAAAAACTTGAGGAAATAGTTACATCTTTTAAAATCTATATTTATTTTTTAAACTTTTCCCAAAGGATTTAACTCCAGGAAGAGCTTTTTGCCAGCACCAAGGACTCTTGAAATGATACTGTGCTTTTCATTAAGTGCTGTAGCTAAAGATTTTTTTTTTCTAAATGACTCAATTGTAAAATATATTTTTATAAAGCTGATCATTGTCTGTGGTGTTTGCCGAACTTCTAGAATTAATGTGCTAGTTATTAGCACCGAGGACTAAGGCCCATGGCTTGTAGGCCTCTTTAGAAAATAGCTTCTTCGGATGTCATTGTAGCTCAATGTTTCTTAAAAGATTTTCTATAGTACGTTCTTTGGGTAACCGTGTTAAAGCAAATAAACTGAACTTGAATTGGCTAACCAACTTCCATTTGTGTTAAGGACTAAATATAGTAAGCATATTTAGCAGGAACCTCCACATCTTATATCTAATGTTTTTGTTGTAACTATGAAAATGAAGCCTTTGAGGAACTGCATAGAAGTGTTTTAGCAAATGAATGTACAAGTCCTTAAACCATTTCATGGTTCTTAAGGTGAACAGATCATGACTCTACTACTAAGTATGCCTTAAATCTTACTGTTGTTTGGCTTCATTCACACCTAGGTTTGAATGTATCCAATATTATACTACACTGTACAGCTCTTTTTGGATTTACACATTATCTAGGTCTTGCTTCCCCGGGAAGGCAGTGGCTCTTGTATGGCTGCATTATGTGATTGCTGAGAGAACAGAAGTTTAGGCTGGGATCACACTACTTCTCTTTCCACCTCATCTTTGAGGGGCTAGGAAAATATTGTATTCTGTATTTGCTTAGATGCTATCCATGACAGTTGTTTAATTTCATTTGATTTTATGAACTTGAAGTTAATCCTCTTTACACATCACCAGTGGTTATGGGAGGGTTTTACAGGTACTAAGAAGCTGTGAGAATGGTCTCCTTTGGCTTACTAAGCCAAATGTTTCCCTGGCTGTACTTGGGATGGATACCCACTGTGAAGTAGATCTGTAATCTGTAGAAAGTAGAATGTGTCCCTGTAAAATTAGGATAAATTTTCCTAAGAGGGTGCTGGTTTATCATGAAAATTCTTTCGAGCAGGGACCATCTTTGTGTGTGTACAAGGTACCTACAAGCCTGAGGCCCTCACCCTTAACTAGGGCTCCTAGGTGATACAGTAAAAGAAATACTAAACGGGTGACAGAACCCTACCTCATGATGAAGAGTGTGCCTGCTAAAACAGTCTTGTGAAAACTATTAATCCCTTCTTGTCATGAAAGATTCATTTGCGTGAATGAAAAAATATAAATGCTGCCTATATAATCTACCTGTAAACATAAGTAGTTTCACTCTGTTTTTTACATAAAGCAGTAACTTAAAAAATATAAAGATGTATCATTTCATCCAGGAAACAGGGTTAGTTTGGATCTTCCCTTCAATGCTCTTTGCAATGGAAGAGCCTATAGGAAGAGCATGTGTATGCAGGTGGTGACACAGGCTGAGACTTGATGTTTCAATGCCTCAGTTTGACACTCTGCCCTTATTTTCAGAAACTGCTGAGTTTCCATCCTCTGCAAATCAAACCCCATTAGAGGTATCCTAAGTTGCTCATTGAAAATTACTAGTCACTTTTGAAAACTCTGGTGACAGAATTTAGGTCTAGTTGCTTTGCATATGTAAATGTAGGACTTTCCTATAGAAAAGTACGCATTTTTTTTTTTAAATCTTCTCTGAGGCTTTGGAATTGTGGCTACTTAGCCACCATTACTATTGCAGAGTCCCAAAATGAGTGTGGAATTCATGTTGTAAAACTCAAGAGACTTGAATTCTGGCAGAGTTGATGCATGATATAAGCTGGGTGGATGGGCACATATTTAATTATTCATGAGTCACTTGTCTTCATCCCAAGCTCACCTTGAGTGGCAGTGAGAGGATGACAGGTACAGGTCTAAGCCCCATTTTAAGTCCATTAACCCAGTTTTTGCCCCTTTTTTTTATCCCTGGAGCCAGAATAGGTCAAATTACAGGTTGGTTAAAAGTGGTAGGGGGAAGACTGCACTGCCCTTGGTTGGGCTAGGGTTATACAAAGGAACCCAGGCCCAGCTCCACAAAGATATTTACTTCCATGGGTTTCAATGGAAGTTAGGAGTCTAAATACCATTGTGGATCTGAGCCATAGAGTCTAGAACGTTAAGCTAATTACCCTCGGGGGAGGAGTGAATAAAACAGGAGGTGGCCTTCTGAAGCCCTAGTTTTGTTTGAAACCTCATAACCTATGAGGGATTGTGCCACCAAGACTTCAGGCACTAAGTTGAAGACAAGTTCAAATCACCCTCAGTGAATATTTTTTTAAAGTTGTACATTTAGGGGGGGAAATGTCCCCTTCTCCTTGCAGAGATTCTTCAGGGTAGTTCTGGTGATCAGTTCACTAGAGGAGACATACTAGAACTATAAAGAACTTTAAATATTTTATTTTTTAAAAATGTATTCTATTTACAATCTGCAAGTAAAAATCTGTATATGGTTAAAAAAATCTTGTACAATATGGCTTCACACATGAAAAGATTAGCTCTGAGTAGCCACCTGTGGAGCATTGCAAGGATATGATGCATTCTGTCAGAGTTCTTTATATAAAAGGCTATTGTCTGTGAGAGAGATAAACCTACATTACTATGCCTTATGAGGATTAAAGTAGTGTGGTTGGAAGGCATGAAACCATGGTCTTTCATCAGTGGTAAATTTGCCCAGAAACTCTTCAGTTATTTATGAATCTGGTTCTCTCAGAGCAAGACAGCTTCCATTTAAGTTGAGACTTAAATACCAGAACACTACTGTCCCATGGTTTGAGGTAAATGCTTTGCAAAGGATATTCCTTTATTGGAGGCAGCTGTACAAAAAGTTAGACGGTCTGAATTAAGACTGTTAGTCACTTATTGCACCTTAAAGCTAGGCAGAGGTCATTATAGTACTGGCATTTTCATTTTAAAACAAAGATGTATAATGTCTTAATTTATACCACTTTCCGTTTATAAAGTGTTGCCTTATATATTTTTAACGAGTTTCTCTCCTGCTCCCAAGCAACTGGAATAGCAAACTTTTAGTGCTGATTGAGCCTGTTTCCTGCCCTGGTGGAAAAACACTTGTTTCTAAGGCAGTGGTGGGCAACCTGCGGCCTGTCAGGGTAATCTGCTGGTGGGCTGTGAGACAGTTCGTTTACATTGACTGTCCATGGTTCGCTGTTCCCAGCCAATGGGAGCTGCGGGAAGCCACAGGGACATGCTGGGTGTCACTTCCCGCAGCTCCCATTGGCTGGGAATGGCGAACCACGGACAGTCAACGTAAATGAACTGTCTCGCGGCCTGCCAGCGGATTACCCTAATGGGGCGCTGGTTGCCCACCACTGCTTTAACGTCTGCCATTCACTATGTGTTGGCCCCTAGACAATCACTGTCTGAACTTCCACTTCCCCTTCCTGGGAGGCTATCACAAACTCTCCTACGTGCTCCATTATTTCAATATCCTCTGATGCAACCATTGTCACAGTTGCTTCTTCTGTCTCAATGCTACCCTCTGTCGTCAGTACGGCTCCTTTGCCAATTGCCGAAGCCAGTGTCATGGCAACCTGCTCTGTAAGACTTTCTGGTGTTGCTATGGTGATAGTGTCTGCAGTGTCAGTAGTTACTTCAGAGTTTTCTGCCACTGTAACATTCTGCACGATGATCTGGTGGCCAGAGTTTGCTTGATTTACTATTTGCTGCACGACCTTCATAATGTGACTGTCAACCTAAGTTAAGAAAAAAGTTATTTAATTTTTTTATCATTAATAATCCAACAATTCCTCTTGTTCAGTGTATTGTGCTTACTACTGCCCTGCTACAACTGTAACTGCAGTCTAGTAGGTTTTTAGTGAGGTAATACAAACAATTAAATAGGTTCAGATGAATTCAAATATTTATTGAAGGTATGGCATCTTAGTGAGTGAGATAGCTGGAGTACATCACATCTCATCTCACTAGAGAACTGCTGGTATTTGAGAAAGCAGTTTGTATAATGAAGTCAAGACAAGTTATTTTTAAAAACTGTTTAAAACTAGCCTGAGGATGTCACACATTCCAGGTTTTTAAATACCAGAATGATGGCCTCAGTCTAAGAACTTAAGAAAGATGAACCACAATTGTTTCTGATGTGTCCAGCAGGAGACTAGCCAACCTCTCACTTTAACTTTGCAGTTCCAACCAGGGAGCTGACCCAAACCTGAACACTGATTCAGAGGTTTTTTGAGTGAACTGGAACTGAACCCAAAAAAAATCCCTAAACTGGTAACTCATTCCAAACAGGTTTGGTAATCAAATGCTGAAGGACGTCTCTGTAGTCTTTTGGGAGTGCTAAGGAAGGGTACGTCTCTCTCTCTCTCTCTCTCTTCCAAACCTAGAGAGAGGGTGGGAGGCAGAGACACTGCACTTCCCAGGAAGCCAGTGGAAGAGAAGAATGGGAGAGAAGGGTTCTGGTATTGATAGTTCTCCTGGCTGTTATGCCTAGATAGGACTAGTTATGGGAAAGAACTACAACTTCCAGAACACCTCAACCACCTACCGCGGAATGCTTGTTCCTCCTATGCAAGTCAGTGTAGAAAGGATGTTTTCTGGCCTGAAATTCATTTTGTACATAACATAACAATGGCCCTACTGGGTCAGACCAAAGGTCCATCTAGCCCAGTATCCTGTTTTCCAGCAGTGGCCAATGCCAGGTGCCCCAGAGGGAATGAACAGAACAGGGAATCAAGTGATCTATTCCCTGTTGTTTAGTCCCAGCTTTTGTAACCTTAACAGTCAAATATGACTGAGAGAGGTCTGGAGGATGTTGTACTAGTGAGTGCAAATAACTGGTTTAAAAATTTTTCTACAGTGAAAAATATTGTATTCTTTTGCTAGGAGTTACAGTGCAAGCATAAGTGTGAGACATTAATCTACAGGAAACATATCTGAACTGCTTCAAACAACTTCAAAGTAGTTCAGTAACAAGTTCAGCTATCATTTTATGTTAGTATTTGAACTGGAACCAAACTGCAGAGTTAAATATTGATGATTCCAACCAGAATTGAATCAAATTTAACCATTCGACTCCCTTCATTCCAACTACGATTTTTTTTGTTTTAGTACACGTGGTGACATTCTTAAGAGAACAGTAAGTAACACCGTAAGATCTTAATGAAAATGTGAAGTCGCCACTTATCCAATATGTACACTATTTTGTGCTGGGTCATAAAGCCCAGTCTGCAAAACTACAGATTGGGGGGGAGAGAGAGAGAGAAGGAGAGCTAGCTGGGTTTTGGTATACTTAGTGTGGCTTTCAGGCACTGTATGTTCATCTTAACAGTAGGGTCCGAAAGGAGCATCAAAACTGGCAGCCTACCTCATGTCTGGTTCCCTCTATTATTTCAGTAGCTTCACTGGTCTCCATGTCTTCAGTAGCAGTCTGGAAAGAGACAAAGCAAAAGATTGCTAAAGAATGCTATAATGGATCCTGTTTGTGAGAAGCGTCACCCCAGGAGCATGGGCTCCCTCCCACACCATTCTTCCTGTTCTCCCTCTGCTGCTACGACCTGTATTTCTCCAGGAGGCAGCTGGATGTAGTTCCTGCCAGGCCCTATTAACACGAGTTACTCAGAAGTGATGCAGGGTGCGCCCCTCTTAGCAGAGACTCAGCATCCTTTCACCATAGCACCCTGGGGACTGATGGACTCTTCTCCCCTCTTTATTGCATTACAGGTGAGCAATGCACATTTAGTTACAGCACAGGTTTCAGTGGAACACAAGCCCTTCTTCCCGTCTCCCCTTCCTTATCCACTTGTTACTACCAGCCTGGTATAGTGGTTTATTACCTCAATGATGTATTCCTGAGTATCTGCCACCACTGAAGAAAATTCTACTAGAACAGTATGAGGATCTTCAGAAATAACTGTTGCCGCTAAGTTGTCAGCTGATTGACTTTCCTCAGAAACCATCACATCTTCAACCTCTTTCAATGCAAGAAGGCAGCCACCTGAACGTTTCAGGAATGTGAGGAGAAACAAGGATTTTCATACCCAGAATCAAATGCTAGGTCCCACCTAATATTGTGTCAACCTAAGGAGACACTATGGGATACTGCTGAGCGGAAGCTATCAGCAGTTAATCTTCCTCCCTACACCCAAGCTTTAGGCTCCAAGAAGACTTGCTACATTGGAGACTAGAATCCAGCCTCAACTTTAACCAATAATACAATGGAATTACTAGGAATATAAGCGTTTGAGTGCTTAAATCAAATAGTGGGCAAGACTTTCAAAGTCCTAAGTGTGTAAGAATAGACGGGTGAAAGTGGGCCAGTAAGAAGTGGCCGCCGGTACCAGCCTGTGACGCAGCTGATGTTAAAGCGCTACTGTGGCAGCGCTTTAACATTGCTGCCCCTTTTGCCCCACCCTATCAGCAGTCCTGCCGGTAGGGACCCTATAGGCACGGCTGCCAACGGGGTGGGGGGAAGGGGCATAGGCACGGCTGCCAACGGGGTGGGGGGAAGGGGCAATGACATTTAAGGAGGGTCCTTTGCCATGGCAGTGCTTTGTCATTGTCACTTTTGCCCCCTCCTGGGCCACCGCCAACAGGGGGAAAGGGGCAGCTGCCCCGGGCCCAGCGATTTAAAAGGGCCCAGGGCTTGCAGGAGCAGCCAGAGCCCCAGGCGGCATGGGGCCAGACAGCACGGCTGGGTGAGGCTGACCCCCTGCCCTGCCCCTTTTGGGGGCCCAGAGCCAGGCCTCCATACCAGTAAGTGCTTAATGTTACTTTCACCCCTGAGAATAGACCCAAGATTCCTTGACATCCCTCATAAGCAGCCAGGCCATTGTACCAGCATACAATTCAGCATATTTATATTCCTAGCAAAGCTGTAACTATTCTCTAGAAGCATTACGTGCCAACATGATTTTAGAACACATTTAGTATAGATAACAACAAGTAGTGTCTCTCAATGGGTGCTGATCCCATCAACCACGTCAATATTTATTTGCAAGTGTTCTGAATATTAGTATTTGCCCAGCAGACCATAGCAGCTTCAACTAGACACAGCACACCCCTTTGTGGCATTTCACAGAAAAAGGCAGTAAGATAATGGACAATTTCACTTGTCAAGAAACCAAAAACAAATGTAGAGTAGTTACCTGCCGCATTTAATTTTACAGAACACAAAATGTAAGCAACTGTTGGCACCTGGCACTTCTATTGTGTTTTAATCCTTTTTCTGTTGGGAGGCAGGTGAACTTGCATTAGTTTATGAAGACACCTGTTTTTTCTGGCCTCACCTAAAGCCTTAGAGAATGTAACAATTACAGGACAAAATAGCCAAACCCATATTGTGAGATTCAGGGTGGAAACTGCATGGGAGAGAGGCTCTCTCCCCTTCCAAACACTGCATTTTACAGATCATGGAAGCTGGAGTTTGAAACGCAGATAACTCAATGTTTTTGCCTCGGTCAGACTTAACACATCAATGATTTTGATTTCACTGATTTCCACTTTTCGTTATCATTCTACTAGATGAATGGACCCGATCTTGTTATCCATAAACCAGTTCTCTTACTGATCAGAATTGCTTTTGGCTGGAAGGGTGAATGTAGAAGGGATTTGTTTAACAGTTTAAAGAATAAATGTTGCAGCTTTTAATGCCACTCAACTGCAGGGAAACCATCAACAGCTTATGGGAAAGGCAGCTAGAGCCCTTTCAAACAAGACTGGTCTATCAGCCACTGAATTTGCTTAGTGTGACTTGAGCAGGCCTTGCTGTCACACAGATCTGAGAAGTTTACTGTTTACACAGATTCTTACAAAATGATCACTAAGATTCAGCCATAGCAGGGCAGGTGGTCCAAATTAAGCCACAAGAGAATCCCACCGTAGACAGATGCCTCCCTATCTCACCTTTGGTTTTTAAGTGCCTGTTAAGAGTGCCATGCTCTGCGAACCCACGTCCACACTTGTAACATTTGTATGGCTTTTCGCCTGTGTGGTGACGGATGTGACGAACCAACGAGCCCTTCTCCCGAAAGCCCCGGTTGCAGAACTGGCAGATGTAGGGCTTCTCTTCCAAGTGAGTGCGGAAATGAACCTGCTGGGCATTCTGCAGCAGAAAGTGGATACGATGGAAGAGTGATAGGAACAAACCACTTAAACAGCCTCTCCCAGGGAGTATTATAGCTCTGACTTTGGAGCAGACACCCCTTTGAGCTTTTCTTGCCACCAAGGCAGGAATATTCCTCTGCCACAGGTACTACAGATTATTCCTGAACAGGGAAACAGGTCCCACTATTTCCCTACTTAGAGATGAACTGCAAGGCCATTGTATCTAATGGTAGAGTCCAGGATCCTTTAGTTCTCCTGGAACAGCTGAAGATGGCTAACTAAAATAAAACAGACCAAAACTGCATTCCCTACAGTGCATGAGGAGTCCATTACAGAATGTCTGTGAGGCTGACGTTGGTTCAGTGTGCTAACCGCAGCCTATGCCTAGCACTTCAGAGGTAACTGCATCATACCGTTTCTGAAGGCAAACTTCATTCCCCAGAGGTGATTAGCTCATGCTTGTACATAGCAACTGATATCTTTTAACTGTCATATTTGGCAAAGAAAAAGTCAGTTCACATAATGACTAATTTCCCCCCCGCCCCCAAACCTGCTAAACTATTTGCCTTACCAATCCCCTGCAGCACAGGCAGTCCATCCAGAACAGGAGGGAATTTTCTCCAAAGCTTGTTTGAGTCTTACCCCTCACTGTAAGCCCCTCATTATTGTATCACCGGATCTTAAAACAATTTTACAATTTTTTTTAAAGCGTTTGTCAGTTCCCTGTTAGACAAAGCCTGTTAACTTTCCACAGAGCATGACTATGGAGAGGAAAGATCTGCAGGCAAGTGTGTTTTGGAAAGAGGCACCTACCTTTGTTTTGTATCTCTTGCCACACTTTGGACAGGAATATGGCCGCTCATCTGAGTGCACCCTCTTGTGTCCCTTCACATGCGCGATGGTCTTGTAGAGTTTGCCACACTCACCACAACGGAAGCGCCGCTCATTGACATGCACTTCCTGGTGCTTTTTCAACAGGTAGCCTTTCATGAACTCTTTACCACACTCCTCGCATTTGAACACTTTGTAACCTAGAGGGAGACATATTTTAGACCATAGGCAACAGCAGCACAAAGGAATTCTGAAACTGTTATTGCACCAAAGTAATAACGTTGTTATAGCATGTCTGACCAGAGGGACTAGATGGCACAGGGGAGTTAATGTAAGATGATGTGGTGCTTCTCCCCTTCAAAGCCCTGGTTCAAAGACCAGGTTGATAATGGCTCTGTTGGTACTATCGAATGGCTCTTTTGTGTCTTACATGAAACAGGTCTTGTCTCAAACCAGTTCCCAGTATTTCTGCCCACATCAAAGATCACCACAATTCGCACTTGTCAGCGGCATCAGAGCCAAGACGACTGAAGTCCATCTGTCCCCCCCATCTTTAGTAGCACTCCCTCCACAGCAAGGCAATGTGCAGGCATGTAGCGAGAACGTTTGTCCTGGTGCTAACTGTGCTGTACCTTTTATGTGGCTAAAATGAAAGACTTTATGCAGAAGGCCATTCTTGTACCCTCCTTGGAGTCTAGTGGCGAAGAGAGCGAATGATTTTTCCAATATAAGCATTAACAATGGATAATAAATATGGGGTCTGCTCCATTCTCTCATAATTCTATTAGCTGCCTATTCTTACAGGATCCAGCTCAAAATTGTACTTGTTTGCTTTTAAAGCATGTCAAGGAGCTGTTCCAGCCACTCACAGATCTGGTCTCTCTTCAATCTTTTCCCTGCTCATCTAGAATCCAGCTCTCATGTTCCTTCCACACAGACTTCCCCCCACTAGTGCAAAAGCCTTCACCTCTGCAGCTCCTGAAATATGGAGCTGCTTTTGCATTTTTTAACCTAGATTTTACATCACTTTCAGATCTCAGGGGAAGTCTCTTCTCAGTTGTTCTGACCTTAATTTCTCCGTTAGTGTTTTAAACGCTAATTGAATCTGCATGCAGTTGTGGGATAAAGTTTGCACAACAAATGCTACACAAAGAGTTCAGATATGTAAATTTTAGAGAACAGCATGTGCAGTAGGCTTACCTAAATGTCCTTTGATGTGTATTTCAAGGGAAACAGACCCACTGAAGACTTCACTACAGTGAGGGCAAACATAACTTTTGTATCCGTTTGTTTCTGTATCTGTCTATTGAAATTAAATATCATAATATAAGAATTCTGTATGGAAAAGGCACTAAGCTAAATGCGCTTTGATTTAAACACAAGAAAAATCAAGTTATCAAAGAAGCAGATGGTGCTGACACTGCAAGTTCTAATGCACAAAAAATATTACACTCTGCTGGTCACTATGCTGATACATAGTGCACAAATATTAGAAGTGTAGATACACTGAAGCCAATGCCTAAGGTGATCACATGTGATTCCTAACAGCCCATGTACTTCCTATAGAAAAGAAAATATAAGCTAAATGATAAAAGAGCATGATGCAAACATACAGTCTCTACTTGCTCTACTTCAACACACTGTTCCCCACACTGCTCTTCTTCCGCTTCCATCTCTTCGTTTTCTAGTTCTTCTGTAGCAGCCACACCAGGTTCATCTGATTTTTGCATCTCCTCCACAGTGACTTTTTCTATCACAATCCCAGAATTCCTCATGGCCTGCCTCAGCAAATTCTCATTGTTCACTTCCCATTCACATGGTAGTTCCTTGGGATTTGATGGCTAAAGAAAATCAAATAGATAACAGCAGATTTGAAGTCAGCCTTTTAGACAACAGAACTCTCTGTATTCCAGTGCTTGTCACCAGGGTGACCGGTTCTGTGATCTCAGATACCAGAAAGCAAAAGAGATGTGTCTGCTTTGGAGAAGTCCTAGAGCTTGAGAAACTGGAGTTGAAGGGATACTTTCTAGCCCTTCACTTGGAGTCTAACCTCAGGGAGTGGCCATAAAATATGGCCATTTTAGGTCACTCAAGTATAATACCAGACATCACTGATCCCATACAGATACATGACAGATCACTTTGATTTTACAACAGAGACTGTAAACTCCACTACCAGATGCTCTAGTATGGCCTTTTCAGGTAACCTACACAGCCATTTATTTTCTCTGAACTTGCAGGCTATTTTCCTATGTGCTTTTGAGATCAGTTTCACAGCCTGGACAGGAAAAGCATCCTCACCCTTATTTACACCTGGCTTATTAGCTTCTTTTAAGTTTCATAGTCACATCAAAGTTAAGATGTTAGTAAATAAGTAATAATAATAGTAGCACCACAGACTTTTGTTTCTCCCCAAGCAAGAGAATATATTGACAACCAGATGCCCTACCATTGTCAGTCCTGTAAAGAACCAGTCAGAAGCATGAGCTGTGTGTTATTTTCAAATGAGTTTAAAATGTTTGCCATCTAGTGTTGGAACTGAAGTTCTACAGGAAAGGTAGCTACTGAACACAACAGAATTAAAATTAGTCTATACAAGCCCTGTGCAGACCTTCCTGAGTAAGTCCTCTCCATTTGAGCCTGTCCTTGGAACTGATGGTAAGGGGAATTTAAATGAGCAATGCTGCCTTCCAACTCAAGAGCCGCGACCAAGGAATAGCAATTCTGCTTCTTTGCATAAAATACGTGAAGGGTATCCAACAGAAACAAACACTCACCTCTTGATCCAAGGATTTTGCATCAACAACAGGAAGCTCCTGCATTTGGACATGGACTTCGTGCAGGACATTGCCTTTTGCATCTGTTAATAGGTGAATCACAGGAGTCTCAATGGATTCGCTTGCTATAGGTGAGACAGCCTCTGTGTTTGAACTACAAGATTCTTCAAGAAAAGAAGCACAGGATTAAACAACCAGTCTAGTTCTGAGTGTGAAGCTAAACCCTATTTACAGCCACTTGACTTAATTCTACTTCAGTGTGTATCTAGACATATTAACCTCTGGCTGAAGGACTGCTTTTTTGCATTTACCATGTGTAATCCTTTTCAAGCATTGTTCCATACAATGACATCCAGCATTTTGCAGATAGATAAGTTTCAACACTGATTTCCATGTCAATTTTGTGATTATAATGGTCTTGGTGCCAGATTCTCAAATAAATCGTTCAATCTATGATCCGTATTTACTCATCCATGGCATGCCTCTGTCCATGATCACTCTGGATTGACAGGTTGGCTACCTGTCCAGAGGTAGTTGTTTCTTTCTAGAGAATGGGAGCCAGATGCCACACACTACACTACACATACACACAAAATATGGAGGAAAATGTCATTTGAATGCCAGGAATGTCACGTGACCTACACTTTGTTTGATGCATGACATACATTTGCTATTTCACTGACCTGTTGGCAATTCATCTTTGCTAACAACTATTTCTTTGCTCATGTTGAAACGGATTTTTTCGGTGCAAGGTGTCAAAGATTTCAGATGCCGTGTCAAAGCTCCTGATTCCCTGAAGCTTTTCCCACACTTCTTGCATTTGTAAGGTCGCTCATCTTGGCAAAGTAAGAGAAAGCATGAATCATTACATCAAACAAATTCTATTAACGCCATCCAAGAGTTTTCACTTGATCAAACATACTTTGAATACAGCTCTTCCCAACCTTTTGGAGCAAGTTTAATTGCCTGTGCCCACTACCTTCCATCCAATTACATGCACTATCTGCAACGGCAAGAGTTTTTGAAACAGAGATTCTGAGCAGCCCCAACACCACGGGATTTAGACTGCATTCAGCTCAGTGCATGGTGGAAAACAGTGGAGCATTTCAGCTCATCACTTAAGGCAAGATGGAGGAGCCAAGTACAGCCCAGTCCAGCAATTAGGAACCACTATACTAAAACAGAGAGCATCTTACCTGTGTGACGCCGGTGGTGTCGAATGAGAGACCCCTTTGTCCTAAATGATGTTCCACATAATTTACATTCATAGTCCTTCCTGCTACTATGAGTGATCATGTGAGCTTTAAGGATACTGGCCTAGAAAATGAGTTGATTTTTAAAAAATTGGTAGAAATGCTCCTTTATTAATTGTTTTACATTTCAACAAAATCAAAGACATTCAAGAACACTCACACTATTAATCAAAAATGTAACTGTAGAACTGCTAGAATGTTGACAAAAAGCACAAAGTTCCAGCCATTACCAGGATTAAAGAAGTGCTTGTATTATTAAATTTACAAGTGAAGATAATGGACATGTTGGAATACAGCCTAATGCAAAACTACATAAGTTATATAAGCCTTCCTGCTTCAGGGCTTAAGCCAATTACTACAGTTAAGAAGCAGCTTCACCTGCAGATTATTCCATGATTGTCCATTATAGAGGTTTCACACTTTCCTCACTGGCCACTATCAGAGACAGGGTACCAGATAAAGATAACAGTCCACTGGTGTGATCGAGTATGGCAGTTCCTTTTAGACAGCAATTAAAGCTTTATCACGAATGTCCGATTTGACTGACTGGCACTAGTTTTGAAATGAGGTCAATCTCCAAATAAGATAATGTATTAGGAAATGAGTTTTCTATCAAGTCTGAAGAGATCATGATGCACAACTGTGCTAAAAGATTTGATAATATGAACATTACAAAAGTAGATTGTAAAGCTACCAGCTCCATAACTTACTGTTTTAAACGTCTTGTGGCATAACTCACACACATATCGACCTTCTTTATTAACCAGCAGCTTAACCCTGATCAGCTCTGTGGAGCCATCTTGTTCCATGTCATCGGGACTGCCCTGCCCTTCAGTGATCTCACCATCAATCTGGCCATTTGGGTTTTCAAAAACTTGTTCTCCTGTGACAATGACTTCTTTGATGTGCCCACTACCTGGGAAAATGATATGAAGACAGCTACATTCTTTACATAACACAGGTTCACATGACTCAATGGAGTCAATCTTTTAGGATATCAAGTCGTGGAAAGAAAAGAGAAGCAGGTGACCAAACACAAATGGTATATGCCAAAGTCAATATTGACTGATTATGGAACTCTTTATTGCCTTTTCAAAGTCATGCTAAAGGTGTTAGAGCTCAGGATGGATGTTCTTTGAAGTGGAGTTTTAAATCTAAATAAAATACATAATAAATATACTCAAGTTAGAGTTGGAAAGGTGCCTTGCAGGATTTCCACTCATCATGATAGTTGTGGAGATTTAGCATGCTCCCTCCTTAGTTCTACCAAGCCCAGAGCTCAGGAGCCCCACACAGATCCCTATGTGAGACAATGTGTTAGACTGTCAACCACCAGACTAGTCAACAAGGCCTTTAATCTGCAGAGATGTCATCTCACATAACCTTTGAAAGTAAATACCACAAACATTTGAGTTGGAAGGGACCTGTAACTAGGTGGTCTGGTCAATTCCCCTGCAGCATGGATTTATTTTGTACAGAAAACAGGCAATACAGTGCAAGCCAAAATCAGTTACACTGCGGAGACACTAAAACAAAACGTTGTACCTCTGCCAAACCACATTAGACAGGGATGCAGTGATTATGGACTAAATGGAAGACTGACAGGGAAAGAGTTCATTTAAAACTTTCTAACTGGGTACAGCTTCAACAGAAAAAAGTATTTTGTAATTTATGTTTTTTCTAGAGGACCTATCAATTTACTAAAATGAATACATGCAGAAATGAATAATGGAAGTAAGGTTTCAGAAACATTAAAGTCTTTATTTTAAAAAGAGAAAATATTTCCATTAATAATTATTATGGACATTGATTAATAATTTAATGTGACTTCATTTGAACTAAAATCTAAAATTCTATTGAGAAACCATATTCAGTTGCAGAGTTAACATCGCCACACAAGGACCTACATACACAAGTTTATTCAATTACAATTTTTGCCTCCATTTTAGAATTCACTCCAGAAGATCCAAATTATTTCTAAAAGAATCAAGGTCATTTTTGTGATGTACTAGAGAACTTCTATCCACAAAGCTTTCTTAGGAAGTGTACACATAGCAATTTTCAGACCAGAAGATGTGTGTATTAAAGTTATAACTCCCTAAAAACTGGAATTTGCAAAAGAAGCTATTAACTGAAAACTAGTATACATTTTCATTGCTTAAAAAGCACCTAAAATCTGTTTCTCCCCATATACACAACAGAGTGAAGCTAAAACAACTCTGACACCATACAGTATTGACTATGAAATCAAATTCTTACAGAGCTAGTGAGGGCACAACTCAAATTTACAATGCAACTCTATCTGACTAACCTTTACAGTAAGGCAATAGACTAAATAATAGATTACTAAAGTAACATCAGTTACATAAAGACCTTGCAACTTACCTACTATAGAAGATGCATTACTGATTTCTTCTGCTATTGAAGATGCTTCAACAACTATATGAGCAACAGTTATGGACTCCTCAACAGAAGGAACAACCTCCTGTAACAGATGTTTTAGTAGGAAAAGTTAAAATCGTATCTGATGTTCACTTATGTTAGATTATTGTTCTAATTTTTTTGAGACATGACTGTCACCTTTTGTACTTCTTGGCTAGGAAGACTTGTTGATGTGGCAGTAATGGCTTCTTGAGTTCGTTGACAGATCTTTTGTAATTTGTGTTGTACAAATTCTTCCAAAGAGGTGAACTCAGAATGACAACGACCACACTTGTGAACATCATCTTCATCTGCAATTTAAAATGTAAGAAATTATTAGATTTGGAAGTTAACATACACAGTGTTTAAGACTGTATGACAATAGCCCTTTGCCACCCAGTCTACTAAATCTCCTACAATATGAAGAGAGGAAGTTGAAATTGGAGCGTGTAAGAATGAGGACTGTTTACCCATTAGATACATTTTTGCTCCTACAGCAGTATTTTCTTTTGGGGTCTATAGAGGGCTGTGATGTTAATTTGCTTAAGGGGCAACACCGTGGCATTTATGCATCACAGGGACACGGGTTGGACAGGTCACAGCCAGCAGCAACAAGATAAGGAGCTCCAAGTTTGAAGACAAGTTACATAAACACTGTGCAGTCTTGCAAAAGGATCATGAACATTTACCAACTCAGACAACAGAGCAGAGGATGATATTAAAAAAGAAATCTAGTGACATGTTCCTTGCCCCCCCAAAAGTGGAGTTACTCATCCCCAAGAGAGTGAAAATTTACAAAGCTGCCTTACTACAGAGCCCATTACAGCATCTCCCTCAATCAGCACTAATCCTCACTATCTGCCTAAGAAACCTGGAAAGGGATAGGAAGCCTTAATCAGGAAATAAAACCAAAGAGACAGGCTTTAGAAGAGGACTTTAAGGGTATGTCTTCTGCCAGATCGGCGGGCAGCGCTCGATCCAGCGGGGATCAATTAAATCAACCCCCAAGCACTCTCCTGACGACGCCTGTACTCCAGCTTGGGGAGAGGCCCAGGCAGAGTTGACGGCAGTGGCAGCAGTCGACTCACCACGGTGAAGACACCACAGTAAGTCGATACAAGTACGATCTAAGTACGTTGACTTCAGCTACATTATTCATGTAGTTGAAGTTGCGTAACTTAGATCGATCTCTTCCCCTCTCCCCCCCCAGTGTAGACCAGGCCCTAGAGCAGGGGCTCTCAAACTGGGGGTTGGGACCCCTCATGGGGTCGCAAGCTGTCAGCCTCCACCCCAAACTCTGCTTTGGCTCCAACATTTATAATGGTGTTAAATATATTTTTAAAAGTGCTATTAATGTATAAGGGGGGGTGGTCACACTCAGAGGCTTGCTATGTGAAAGGGGTCACCAGTACAAAATTCTGAGAACCCCTGCCCTAGAGTCTAGAGCTGATTTCTCGGAACATAGCAATGGCCATACTGGATCAGACCTGAGATCCAGCTACTTCAGTATCCCATCCCTAACTGTGGCCAGCATCAGATCCTTCAGAGGAAGGTGTAAGAACACCTCAGCAGGCAAAGGTGAGATGATCCGCTCCCCCCACCCACACACACACACACACACACACACACACTAGTTCTCAACCAGATTTCTACTAGTTAGAGATTAGTTTACACCATGAAGCATGAGGTTTAAATATCCCTTCCAAATTTGTTGTTAGCATTAACTCACGTAACTCTGGACACTGTCATTCATACAAAGGTCCAGTCCTTTTTTTGGATTTGGCTAAATTCTTGTCCGCAACAGCTTCCTGTTGCAATGAATATGAATTTCCTGAAAAAATATTTCCTTTTTCCGTTTTGAATTAGCCATTTTTAAATTTTAATTGACTATTCTCTTGTTGTGTTGTATGACAGGGAGAACTGAAGTTCCCTATCTGCCCCTACTAGAACATTTCTCATTTTATCTACTTTTTTATCATGTCCTCCTTTCTACGGGAAATTACCCCCAATTTTTTTTCACTCTTTTTCGATGAGAGTTTTTCCAGGCCCCTCCTCATTTCCATCACCCTTCTCTGCATCCCATCTAATTCTGCAACATCCTCTTGGAGATGGGTGACCAGGACTGCAGGCACTAGTCCAGCGGCTCTCAAACTTTTTTGACTGGTGACCCCTTTCACATAGCAAGTCTCTGAGTGCGACCCCCCTTATAAACTAAAAACAGTTTTTTTTTAATATATTTAACACCATTATAAATGTTGGAGGCAAAGCAGAGTTTGGGGTGGAGGTTGACAGCTCGCGACCCCCTGAGGGGTCCCGCCCCCCAGTTTGAGAACCCCTGGAATAGTCCATATGAGACCACCCCACTGAAGCAAGTCAAGCCATTCTCATAGCCTTTGGCTTAGTCCCCAGCCCGACCCCCCCAGCAGCAGAACACCATTTGCTTTTTGGGGCCGCAGCTGCCCCCCGAGCAAAGGTCCCCGCCGCACTGGAGACCCCCAGTCCCTGCCCTGAGTGGCTACAGGGTGTCCGAGTCGTCCATGGCCATTCCTTCGCATTCAACAACAGCGAACTTCGTTCGCCCGCGCGTTGCCAGGTCCCCTCGCCGCCCTCTCTGGGCCCAGCGAACCGACACAACCCTGGTCCCTCGCGGCTCCCCGGTCACCAGCGGTGACCCGGGGGGCGGGGGCCCGGGGATGCTGAGGCCGGGGCGGGCCAGGGGCGCTCTGGGGGCCCAGCGCTGACCGGCCCCCGCCCCCGGGAGGGGCCCGGAGCGCGCCACCCCCTCAGCAGGCCGCTCGCCCCTCAGGCCCCGGCGCGGGGAGCGGGCCCGCCCCAGGCCCGTTACCTTCCTCGCTGAAGGGCGCCGGGAGGCTGAGAAAGGCGGTGGGGCCGGCGGGCGCCTGGGCCGGGCTGGAGGCGGCAGCCGCCGCCCCCTCCTGCTCCCCGGCCGCGGCTGCCGTAAGCCCCGCCGGCCCTGCGCTCGTTGCCATCACGGCCTCCATGTCGCAACGCGCCGCACCACCAAGATGGCGGCTTTACGGCCGTGTCGTCATAACAACGGGCCGCATGCCACAGGGAAGGGGAGGGGCGGAGCGGAGCGGGGGTTCGGCAGGTAATGGGAGGGGGAGTAAGGAGCCCCGCGCAGGGGCCGCGCTCTGACCCACCACTCCTCTGACCCCTATGATCCCCCACTGACCCCTGACCCTCCGTGCCCTTCGTGAACCTGAGCGCTCAGGTGACCAGTTACCGCCCGGTGCAACTAGGGGGCGGGGCTCGGGTAGCCAATGGGCTGAGAAGAGGGTGTGTTACCCAATGAGATGTAGGGGCGGGGCTGAGGACCCGATCAGCATAGGTTACGGCACGATCGGGTCCCCGCGCGACATAGCCAAGGTGATGGGGCCTGTCACCCATTGGACTACGGAGTGGGCGGGACTCCATGCCCGCTCCCCCAACGAGCAACGGCGGGGGCGGGGCTCCCTTGGTACTTTGCCCAATGGGCAGACGCGTGGGCGGGGCTCCGCGCCCGGCTACCCAATAGTCGGCGGCCTGCGCCCAGCGCGCGCGCCGGCCGGCTGAGGTGAGCGGGTCAGTCAGTCAGTCAGACCATGGCGGAGCGCGCGGCGCGGCGGGGCCTGCGGCTGGAGCCGGCCGCGGCCCGGGAGGTGCTGGGCGCGGCGGACACGCTGCTGTTCGACTGCGACGGGGTGCTGTGGCGGGGCGACGCGGCGGTGGCGGGCGCGCCGGCCGTGCTGAGCCGCCTGCAGGCCCGGGCCAAGCGCCTCTACTACGTGACCAACAACAGCAGCCGCACGCGGGACGCCTACGCCGAGAAGCTGCGGCGCCTGGGCTTCCCCCCGGCCGAGCCCCGCCAGGTCTTCGGCTCGGCCTACTGCGCCGCCCGCTACCTCAGCCAGGCCCTGCCGCCCGGCGCCGCCGCCTACGTGCTGGGCAGCCCCGCCCTCAGCGCCGAGCTGCGGGCCGTCGGCGTCCCGCACCTGGGGCCCGGCCCCGCCGCCCTGCCCGGGCCCGGCCCCGCCGACTGGACCCGCGCGCCGCTGGATCCGTCCGTGCGCGCCGTGCTGGTGGGCTTCGACGAGCACTTCTGCTACGCCAAGCTGTGCCTGGCGCTGCGCTACCTGCTGCGGGGCGGCCCCGACTGCCTGCTGGTGGGCACCAACCGCGACCACCGCCTGCCGCTGGAGGGCGGCGCCGCCATCCCCGGTGCGTGGCTGGGGGGCGGGCCTCCTGTCCCGCTCCTCGTGGGACGGGGGGGGGCGCGATGTGTCCCTCAGGCCGCTCCCGGGGGAGGGGGGTCGGCCCTGGCCTCGGCCTGGAACATGGCTTCTTGCGTGGGTGGTTGGGGCTTGAAATAGCACCAAAAATATGTCCCCATGGTGAGTTTAGTGCCAGGTCCCTGCAGCCCCTCGGCTGGCCAATGCACTGGTACTTGGAGTCACAGTTGTCATGCAGCTCTGTGCCCCATCTACAGTCCCCTTGGCCAGGTGATGTGCTGGTCCCCTTGGGTCACAGCTGTCACACAGCTCTGTGCCCCATCCACAGTCCCTTTGGCCAGGTGATGTGCTGTCCCCCTTGGGTCACAGCTGTCACACAGCTCCATACCTGTCTGCAGTCTCCTTGGGCAGGCAATGTTGTGGCCCCTGATGTCACATCTGTTACTTTTCTGTGCCCCATCTGTAACCCCCTCGACCAGGTCATGTGCTGACGCTCAGAGCTGTTAGACAGCTCTGTGGCACATCCAGCCTACTTCACTCCAACATTGGAATGAGGAAAGGGCCATTCAGTTATTCTCCATATTCTTCCCCTGGAAGACCCTTTGTGGGTCCTACTCTAGATGTCCCTTTGCCCTGGCATCAACTCCTTTGCTCTCCAGCCCACCCCCAAGTTGTTGTGAGTGAAAAGTGCTTTCCTGAACAACATGCATCCCTCCTTCGCATTTTGTAGCTTCTTATTTAGTTTCTTCACCCTTCTTTCTTTGTTGCAAGAGGTATGGATGTGATGGCAGTACCTACAGCTTGTATGACTTTATGCTTCAATTGAATCTCCTCTGCTGTATTTTGTTAAAGAATGTGGGGGGACACCTATGCTGCTTGCATATGGGCCTCTCGATGCCAGTACAAGTTTTGGGGACAGGTGTCTTTCCTGGATACAGTCCACTGATTACAGCTATGTAGAAACCAGCACTCTGATGCTAGGTGGTTGGGGACCGCACTGGCTCCATGGTTCAGGGCTGCCCTGTTCCCTAGTGGAGCCTGGATCTGTTGGGGCCAGTGGTCCCTAGCAGCCTGATCTCTATTGTTGAACACACAGGTAGAATCTTTCCAATTCCAGTCAGAGCAAATGAGGCAATCTAAATCTGGAGTATTCTGGAATGTGAGAAGCTTGAGGGGTTTGACCCTGGCTGACTTGTGGCCTAAGTTCCCTCTAAGCTGCGTTGCCGCACTGCTGCCTATTAAGCCCCGCACAGGGGCTCCGGGCCGCGGGGAGAGGCGCCCCTCCCCGTTGGCCCCAGCGCAGGAGCTCCGAGCCGCAGCCAGGGGGAAGGGCTGGGGGGAGTCCTCTCTCCCCACCACAGCCCCAGGGCAGCCTGAACCCTTCATCCCCGGCCCCACCCCAAACCCCGCAACCCCAGCCAGAGCCCTCACGCACCCCTGCCCCAGCCTTCCGCACTCCAAATCACTCGGCCCCACCCCCACCACATGAATTTTGTTATGTACACCAATATGAAGGTGATGTGTCACACATCACCTCCATATTGGTGCACATAACAAAATTCATTCCACATGTGGATGTAAAAAATTTGAGGGAACACTGCCTGTTCAGTCACAGAACTGGATTTTCTAGAAAAACCTTTACTCTAAACCCTCTTCTGTTGCAGTAACATGCAAGCATCCCACCCTTTGCAGCCGACTGGGGATCTGGTGGAATGCAGGCACAGCCGTGAGGTCTGCAATCATTCTGCATGGCTTCGCTGGCGGGGTAGCTCCGCAACCTCCTCTTATTTATTGCAAATTAAAATATTTTATAAAATGAGAGGGAGGGGTTGGACTTCCCTACTCTGCCTTAATCTGCACCAGGCAAGCTGCCTCTTGCCCATTATTAGGTCTTTAATACTGTGGGGTTACACTTCTGAAGTACCATGCAGTGCAGCACTGGCTCATCTGGGTACCACAAGTCGTGTCCTATATTTCACTTAACTTTTCTCTTCTGCCTTTAGGGACTGGCTGTCTTGTGAAAGCAGTGGAGATGGCAGCAGAACGTGAGGCGTTCATCATAGGCAAGCCCAGCCGATACATTTTCGACTGCTTGACGAGCGAGTTCAAGATCGATCCCGCTCGTACCATCATGGTGGGAGATCGACTGGACACAGACATCCTTATGGGCAATAACTGCGGCCTCACCACCCTTTTGACTCTCACTGGAGTCACTACCCTGGAAGAAGTCAAAGGTCACCAGGAGAGTGACTGCCCTACCAGGAAAAGCCTGGTTCCTGATTACTATGTTGATAGTATAGCTGACCTTCTTCCTGCACTTGAGGATTAAAATAGCAAAAATCTCTCCAGCTCCTGAAAAGGTACCCACGTTAGTGAAGGGCAGTAGCTAATATCACCACTCATTACTTTAATACACACATGCAGTGTGACACCACTTGCAATTGCAAACGGTTAGCTTTTAACCTTCAATTTGAGTCCTACGATAATCTTGTTTACAAATCTTGTTTTTAAAATGCACTTTGAAATGAAGAGGGCATTATAGTGTAACCCAGTCTTCTTGTGGTTTTTAAAGCCAACAAGTACATCCAAATGTTTGCAATATGAGGTGTCAGGGTATTGTTTTGCTGGACTGGGTTAAGGAAAATAGAATAGATTTAAAAAAACGAACCAACCTTGCGGTATGTTTTGATGGACAAACCGTAGCTCAGACTTGATTATTCAGGGAATTAACTCTTTGGTATAGCTGTCTAATGGCTCTCTTCTCCTATGCTTGCACAGGCTGGCTCAGTTAGAATTTGGTCCCATGCTGGATTCTTGATGCTTACTCAGGTCCTGTTCTAGATGTGCAGCCTATTGCAGGTGTAACTTCAAGGGAGAGCAATTCAAATATCTGTCCTGTATTTGATCATATAAATTGCAGTTGTGATACAAACTGGACGGGTTCTACATGCAAAGTATATTAATGGTATCTTCTGTATGTTGTATTTGTCCAAATATTGGATTTATATGTAAAGTATGTGTGGTATATAAAGTAATTACCCTGACTGACACTAAATATATATCAGAGATGTATTTAAAGTATACAGTAAACATAATATATTGAGACTTTATCTTGTTTCCCAAAAGGAAGGATATGAGGAATGTTCTTCACTCTTTATTAAGGATTAATTTTTAAAGGCACTTGCATACTAATGAGATAATGCCGTAAGTGTAATCACACAGAACTGTCCTACATTAATACCATTTGCAAGAAAGAATTATATCAACCGATTACAAAAAAAAAATAGTTGTGCCCATCCTTAGAACTCCCCAGTCCCTCAATATCAAAACAAATGTTTGCCTGGGCTTCAGCTGTGTAAACTCTAAATCTGTTGCTCCTTTGAGGAATCTGTATAGTACACGGTGTCTATATATTACTCCCTGGGCTTATTTTGTGTGGAATAGTGGTTAAGTACTGGAACAGCATGGTGCTTCCTTTACATTTCCGATGTTAATACCTTCCTTGCAGAGCTGGTGTGAGGGCCTGACACCAGCTACTTGCCTAGGTAAGAATGAATGCTCAGGTTATTTTGCTTCGCAACTTTAAAATAGGCCTCCAGATAGCTTTTGTTCTTGCTGCACTAACCTCCACAATGAATATTTTAAGCTTTTGTGTTTAAAAAATAACTCAAGTAATCAGATATGCAAATTGCGTGTTCCGTTATTCCACAGAAGTTCTATTGGTAATTGAAGGAAAGTCTGTGTTTTAATTTCTCTCTCATTGTTCAGTTTGAACAAGTCTGGCAGTGTATTAGTGCCATTTCCTCGTACTTAAACACTTGAAACATGTAAATGTATCATCTTGTTCATACAGCAATAATTGTGCAGTTCATAATATCTTTCAGTGTTACCAGGATATGAGCTGAAAAAACACTTACAAAAGGTTAGTTATAAATTAATGTCAGCATTCATCTGTAACTCTGGACGTGTGCAAGAGGCATTAGTCATATCTCTACCCTTTATTATGTCTCCTTTGTAAGCCTCAAAAGGCTTCTAGCTGAAATGCCTGTGTCATGTAGAATTTGTTCTCGACACTAGTTAATGTAGAATTGGACATAGTGGGTTTATTGCAGTTAGGGAAGACTTCAGATACAATATGTTCTTTGATTTATTTTCGAGACTTGTACTTATCAAATTCTATAGAGATTCAGGAAAATGTTAAGTAAAGGAGTAAATATCAGTGTCGTATTAAACCATGTAACAGCTGCACATTATCCCTGTTGAGAACTACACCTATACAATGGCACCATTACCTCTATTCATTCTGTCTTTCCCTAAGTATTGTGGAACTGTATTGGTGACAGCATTTATTATGCTTAACGAGTCTCCATATAAATTTTGTTGGAGTTGTCAATACTATACTTGAATTTACATTAAACTTACAAACCTGTTTTCCCTCTGGCTTTTCTCATTGTTTCTGTGGTCTGTTCTGTGTTTACATGTAATGTTACAACAACATGAAATATTGCCTCTAAAGTGGTGAAATACATATGCTGTTATATTGCTAACTCTATTTTTTAGAACTAATATTCACTCAATCTTATTCTCCATTTTCAATACCTAGATCCAGCAATGAGTGGGTTGTAGAAGCCTATGACCTGGGTAGCATTTTCACATTCTTGCATTTTCAAACAAAATATCTTGCTCAGTATGGCTAAGCAGGTTCCTGCCCCTTTTTGTTCAGATAAATTAGAAAAATTTGTGAAAGATTTCACTTGACTTTTCTATCTCTGACAGCATATATGTGGTATAAACTTGTTTGAAAGAAGGGTAGAGTGAAAGTGTTACAATGTTGGTCAGTAGTTACTCTTGCAGAACTAACCAGTGTGGTTAAATTGCATCACTGCCTACTCTTTTTTCATCAGAGCTGAAGCTACTTCCTTTAAGGAACATGTTATTGTGCCACGGTATTTCACAATGCCGGCATGTGCTGAAGTTATTTCCTCTTACTACTTTTAAATCTTGAAAGGAATGAGAAAAGTGGCCAGGTAACTCTCTGGCTGTAGCAGAATGTAGGCATGCTTTCTTAATTATGTATCACTAGAGCACTTTGTATCCTTGATTTCAAGTACATTAACTTCACACTGTCTTCTCTGAATTTTCAAGCCATACAGAAGTAACAATAGAATGAGAAGAAGCACAACTCTCTCCACTGTCAGTTTCCCTTTTTCTATCTTTCTAACAAACTAGTGGGTCCCAGATAACAAGGGTGAAGCCCTCTTTGCTCCCCTGCACAATCAAACATTGAGAAGCAATGTGGGAGGCAGACCAGGTGCTTCAAAAGGAATGAAAAACCCAATGACCAGCCATCTTGGACTTGCTCCTGCAGTAAGACTTAGCCTTATCCCAACTTGTTATGAAAATTCAAGACAGCCTGCTCAGGTTGTTAGGAAGGAAACTGCTGCATTACTCTTCTAGATCCCTGGGTAAACTGGTGGTTGTATGATGTACAAAAGTCTTACTTGTGTAAGATCCTCTTTAAAGAGGGCCCTCTATAGGGCCATGATGAAGCCCATAGCATTTATTATAATAGAGGTTGGGCTTGATGTGGCCACATTTCTGAGCTCTAGCTAACCCTACCGGGATACACAAAATACCTGGTATCAGTCAACTTATAAAACTGACATCTAATAGGAAAAGCTGTATACCTAAGTACTAGAACATATGGATCCTGTTGTCTTTGGCTGCCAGGGAGGGTGATTGGTAGTGGTGGTAGCTTTGCAATGCAGGTACCTCTTCACTGGGAACTGGACTAAGCTCATTAAAGTAGCTGAGATACATAGCTGGGGCAAATCTGTACTGCGATGACCTGTGCTGCATCAGTCTCTGGGTGATAATTTTTTTTAAATCTATTTAAAATTAAATTTGAAATTAATCTATGTTGAGGCCTAAACTTACTATAGTCTGTTAAATCTATTTAAATACACAAATAATATTTAGCTGTACTTATTTGCTGCTAATTTTAAAGAGACAAATCACTGAACTGCTGGAAGTCGCTGGCTAAGCACTTGGAACCAGAGTCTGTTGAAGTGCTAAATCAACTTCTGACACCTATAGCCTCTTCTGCAGGTGCAGAGAGAATGTTTTCTTCATTTCAATTTATTCAACTAGTTCAGGGCAATGACTTAGATCATTCAAAGTTATAAACCAATTGGCAGTTTAAAAAGCTTGTTTTTCTCCCCCAATCTATGGGGAAAAAACTAAATATGGGAGGATGAGATCTACTAGATCGAAAATCTTGAAGGATGTGATGACCAGAAACCATCAGTTCAATTCACTAATTACAGATACTTCTTTTGCACTTAAAACTGATTTATTAAATAATATTTTGATAAACATTTTTCTTCTGTATCCAGCACATTTAAGATAGTTTTATTAATTTTTTTGAAAAATGCTATTTTGTCCTTTTAAATTGAATTTGACTATTCATACAAACCACTAGAAAAATTATTCATAATTTAACTTCTTAAATGTAAAAATTAAGAATCTGAATAAATGTACCTTAAGCTGTATAATATCTTAAAGGTGGATAGATCTATTGTATTCTCTTGGTTAGCAAAAAGAAGCACCAGTTTGGTGTAAAGGCTCTATTTAGTTGCAAATCAGCTTGTTTCAAGGATTACCAACCAATGAGAATTTGGAACCAGTTTCCTTAGGAAAATAACTAAAAAGTACAAATGCAAAACATGATTAAAATAGCTTTGATTTAAATCAATTCATCCTCATCAGACCTAGAGATAAACAGTTTGACTTCAGCCTCCCAGAGCTATCTGACCAGCATTACGTTCACTTTGAAATGTAAAAGTAATTAGATAACAAGGGCATATGGCTGCTCTCCCCTATTCATTTTCCCCTAATAAATAAGACTTGGCAGTTGCCATAAGTGTGGCTGGATAACACAGAAGGCCCTGCACAAAGCCCGTGATTGTGTTCCAATTGAATACCTTCAGCTGACTCACAAGGGGAGGCAGGAAGAGCATCTTTATGCCAATGACAGTATCTCTCCACAGTACGTTTTTTCCCCCATTTACTGGATCTAAAGTTTCAGCCTCCACGTGGGTTTCTCTGAGCTGAGAGGCTGGAGTAGGGAGTCTATTTGGCTGTGATGGACACATTCTTCATTTCCAGCTGCATTCAGAGGGTTCTGATCATGCACAATCTGTACATTATCAGGAGACGGAGCCGCAGGAGCAAGGGCTGCGTCTAGACTGGAAGGATGGAGGCGGAAAGGAGCAGTCCTGGCAACGCCACCTCTGCAGTAAGTATCCCTTCTGTCAGGGCACAGCCTGCAGCACCCAGACCAAGGACGCCAGTACCAGTTGCCTCCCCAAAGTCCTTAGTTCTGTGTTTTCACAGGTTGTTGGAATGGGGGTTACCAGACTTTCCAAGGTGCTGAGCACCTGCCGCTCCCACAGACTAACGTGATATTTGTGAGTGCTCAGCATTTCCCAAATGCCTCTCTCACTGACTCAACTAGTTGGACTAAAATCTTAGCTCCTGTAAACCTGTTGGAATTATATCATCTGCGGATTTGTTGCAGATGCCCCTATGTACATAGCCTCTGAAGAAGTGAGGTTCTTTACCCACAAAAGCTTATGCCCAAATAAATGTTAGTCTTTAAGGTGCCACCGGACTCCTTGTTGTTTTTGTGGATACAGACTAACACGGCTACCCCCTGATACTTGATGAGATGAACTAGGATCCAGGGACATGCTTGAAGTGAAATCAAATGAGTGATACCAATCCATCATAAAATGCATATTGCAAGTCAGTTGGAATGTGAAGAATTAGAGGAAAGAGCTCTGTGAAAAATAGAACTTCATTAGACCTTCATTATACAAGGTTTCCCTTGTCCATGTGTCTGTGTAAATCTGCCCCTACAATCCAGGGAAATTTCACTTGCTATTGAAAATCTCATATCAATAACTCTTGTACAAATTTATATTCAAACAGGCTTTTGAATTTAAGTATCTTTTCTGTTACATCCTGTGGGTGATTTAACATTTAATGCATTTTGCTAGAATATACAGTAGATCATCAACTGTAAAGTATGTGTTTAAAAATATACATTCTAACAACTTGATGTCCTTTTAAAAGTTCATTTACTGTTTGATTCTAACAGATCTACTTGCCTGAAATTATTTGATTTATCCCTGTGCTTCAGAGCCTGAGAAACAGGTTATTTTTTTAATAAATCTGCATTCTGCTATTGTATTTTCTTGGCGTAACATGCTTTGTTTACAATCTGTTATGAAATTACTACAAAAGTATTTCAAACACAAGCATAAAAGTGAGACTGAACCTTTTCCATGTAGTAATGAAAATGCTCTGTGTCTCAAAACGTACTGTGGAAACATTAGAAATACCCATCTGACTTTGTTTATTAAGATTTTTTTGCTTTAGGTAAAAACTGTCCCAGAAAAATAAAATATAAGCAACTATCTTTTGTAAAAGAGAGGCAATGGACAATCGGTGCAGTGTACAGGGAATTAAAAAAAAAATAGATGATTTTTTTCAATTTCTAAACAAAACAAAACAATGGCATTTAATACTAAAATGTTTTTCTTCTAAATCTTCCCCATGGTAAAAAAGTAAGATAGCAGCCTTTCCACCCAGGAAGCCTGGTCGGTTCAAATAACTGTGCAAACATTTTAAGGGCTTCCTATCTCCATGGGGAAATTACTGGCAGAACTATAGTGGTATAATTATACCATTATGGCTAGGTTGGTATAATGTCCCGTGTAGACACGCTCTATTCCAGAATAAAAGTAACTCTGTTCCAGTATCATTACTCTGCTTTGGAAGTTCTGCTGGCCAGTTTCTCCCATATAGACAAGCCCTAACACTTTGCCTTTAATCCACGGGGCTGCCCATCCAGCACCTTTCATGAGCAATACTTCACTTCTGCAACTTAAACAATAAATGACACTGGGATGTTTAACTCCATTTGCTTTCTTATTTATTGACCTGTGTCTTGGCTCCTAGGAGAGAAGACCCCTGGCAAAATCTAAAACTCCTTCCAGGATACTTTGGGTCATCTTGTCTGTAATCTTGTTTTTCGCCATTGTTGGCATCAGTGTGGTGGTAATTTTCAGCTTTACCCATAGGACTACCAAGGTAAGGAATTAATTCATTATGGTTCCAGATACAAAGTTCAATTTCCTATGGGAATATCTTGAAGTTGATCTGGCAGGGGGGGGAGAAGAAACCTTCCACAATTTTTTTTCTTCCTTTTTTTACAATAGATCAAATACAACAAATATACAGTTACTTATAAATATCCAGGAAGTTTTGCCAGTTGCTTGAGCTCATGTTGTCAAATTCTGCCCTCAATTACACTTGGAGTCAGTAGGATTACACAGGTCAGAATTTTGTCCAAAGAATGCCTTTTACCTTGGTGAGAGCAGACATCCAGTTTTTCTTAACTGTTCCTGATATTTGAATCTCTCATAATAAATGCTGCCTCCCAGCAATAACAACATAACTCTCTGTAATCCCAGTGAGAGTCTGGATGGAGGGGAATACATTTTTTCTTTCTTTTAAAGAATCTGACAGACAAAAGGTCAAGGGTAAAAAAAAAAGAGAAAAATATTGATGTTTGCTCCTAGTTAAGAAATCAAATAAAAACAAGTGTGGCCAATTTCACCCTGGTCAGGACCAGATTAAGGAACCAGCACCGTAGGCCTGTGCCCAGAGCCCATCTTTTGGATTCATGTGACTACATCAGAATCTGTTTTCTTTTTGTTTGTTTGTTTTTTAAAGTATGTTTCGAGCCCTTTATGGTTACTAATAAGTGTTTGAAAACATAATCCAAGCGTGACTATCCCAAGTCATGTGTGCTTGAGTCTGCAGAGAGCCTAAAAAAACCCAACTCTCAGAGGTATGTACTGTCCCACTCAGCTCAGGGAGGTGTTAACTCCAAGACCCTTTGCTCTGGAGGCCTCCCCAGCTAAGGTTTCCTTGTGTGACAGAAGAGTGCTACAGCCCCTCCCACCCGAGCAGATGCACCCCAGCTAATGGGTTTAAGTAATAGGGAATGCTTGCTGCCCCACTCTGGGAGAGAGCAGAGCTCTTGCTGTTGCTCCTGGGAAGGAGAAAAGAGTCCCGTGCCATGGCCCCTGCCTCTCTGGGAGGAGGTGGGGCTGTGGCTATGGGGGTGGAGCATGTCCTTGTTCCGAGGGCACTGATTTGCCTTCTCTTCCCTTGCCCCTCATGAAACTCTGCTGCAGTCACTGAGCTGAGATCAGGGATTAATCTGCCCCATTGTCCCTTTTAAGGTGACCTGCCAATAGCAGCCCTTAATAAATGCTTTTCAGAAGCCGCAGTATCACAGTAGTGTCCAAGTGTGTGTGTGTGTGGTGGGGGTGTTTCAAGGAATGATGCACACAGCCTGGTGTGCTATTTACATCTGGGGAGAACTTGTCTGCCGGGGACGGTTACATCAAAGCAGGGCCGGCTTTAGGAAGTGCGGGGCCCGATTCGAACACTAAAAAAAAACCCACGTAAAAAAACACGTGGGACTTGTACTCACTGGGCGGCGCTCCTAGTCTTCGGCGGTGGGTCCTTCACTCGCTCCGGGTCTTCGGCGGCACTGAAGGACCTGCTGCCGAAGGGCTGCAGAAGACCCGCAGCGAGTGAAGGACCCGCTGCCGAAGTGCCGCCAAAGACCCGGAGCGCCACCGGGTGAGTCAAAATTAAAAAGGAGCCTCTAGCCAGGGAAGGGATTCTCGGCCACTTCTTTCTCCCCTCCCCCCCGGCGGCCCTGCCACTGGGCGCGGGGCCCTCTTAGGTGCAGGGCCCGATTCGGGGGAATTGGTGGAATTGGCCTAAAGACAGCCCTGCATCAAAGGAGTCTTGATATCCCATTTGTTAATAAAGGCAGTAGGTGCTTGTTCTCTTCTAAGCAGATTACATGTGTGATTACAACTTCCTGCCACTAGGAGAGCCATAGAGGGTCTGTGCACCCACACAGCAAACAGTGCTGGTGGGGAACAGGTGAGCAGTGAGGCACCTCCCTTCGGCATCCTCCATTTGCCAGAGCTCCTTGGGAGCCTCGCTGGGATCCAGCGCTTCCCCTCTGCCAGCGAATACGCTGCCCTCCATTAGGGTGAATATTTGCATGGGTGCAAGGGGCAGCCCTGGTGTAACTATCCCCTGCGTTATCTGTCGTGGAGCTGGCCTGGCCTATGTTATGCTGCTGCTCCTTGCTCCCGCACTGGCTCCATGTTTGCTTCCAGCTGCAATTCAGGCCCTGTATGGTTGGGGCCCCCTGCCGGAGACCAGCTCTCGCCCACCCCAGCTAGCGCCCAGCACATGTGCTCATGCCCACATGCCCTCGGTTTGAATGGCTGGTGGAGGGCCTTTTCTCTGGAATCTGCTTGCCCCATTGCTCTGACTGAGTCTGCATTTGGCTCTGTTCATTGTTAAACAGCTCAGACTAAGAACATGTGGCAGCAAAGGTCCTGGGAGGTTAGTCTCCTAATGAGCGAAAAGTACGGCCACGTTCCCCGAAGCAAGTGGCTGAGAATGATTAGAGAGGGAAACGTGCCTCCCTTGGGCCGGCTGATCCCCGCACAGGCTCTGTAGCTGCAATCCCAACCCGTCACTCCTTGGGGCTGGGAGCGCAGCCTCTGCTCTCATTGTGTATGTGTGTGTGCTCAGCCTGTTTTGCAGATTGTGCGGCTAACGTTTCAGAATCACCAGGGCTCCCAGACGAATCAGTCGGCCTTTGTTGACAAGTCCAAGAATACTGTTACTTATCATGTAACTTCGCCAACGAACCACACAACGGTGGTCTTGTTCGACAGCAAGAATGTGAGTGCAGCAGAGCAGGAGGGCTTTGCGTGGTGTTACCATCTCTTTGAGTGAAATGGGTGACTTGGCAATTATAAGAGTAAATGTCTCAGAGAAAAGTTTCAACTAAAATATGCCTGATCGTTGTTGGTTTGAGAGCTAGGTGCAGACAAGGGGGTGGTGATCAGCTGTTTTTTCTAACTCCCCTTTTCAGAGGCTTCAGGGAGGCAGGTATTGGCCCTTCCTCCAGGCGGCCTGAGGCAGTAATACATACTGTTCGGAGCACTGACTGGGATGCCCGGGTCCTCCCTGCACATCAGCTGCTTTTACACAAACCCTAGAGCTGAGGTGGCTTTGGAGCTGGCTGCACTGGAAAGCCATGCAGTGCGCACTGGAAAGCCATGCAGTGCGCACTCCCACCTAAACCGCAGCTCGAGTTCCAATACTCTGAGTTCCGAGACTCTGTCCAAGATGGGGAGCTGTCCCATGTCATTATAATGACCCCCGTTTTATCCCCTATCTTCCCTGCATTGCTGACCATGCAACAGGGCAAGGACTCTGCAGCATGTCCTTGAGTGATGGAGACAAAGCGGTCTGCGTAGGGGACAGGACTTTGGAACCAATGAGTTCTAATTCCAGCTTACGCAGACTCCCATTCACAATCCCAGGGACCCCACCTCCATTCCTGTTCCTCGTTGCCCAGTCCCACCTCCCTTCCCTGCAGTGATCACATGGCACCCCTATGGCAACTGCAGCGATTAATTGCTTGCAAAAGTGTCAAAGCCCATTTAGTACTTTCCTTTCTTCTCATGCAATTTAGCAGGTGAAAGGAGGACAGCTAGCTCTCTACAGGCAGCTTCCAAGTGCTCCTTGGACCACAGTTGGAGAGCTACTGTTGTCTATACCACTGGTGAGCCACAGTCAGTGTCTAATAAATCTCCCCCCGCCCCATTTCCAGGGCTACGTTCATTCCTGTCGAAAGGTCGCCACTCTGGCGGCTGCTTCGCAGAACAATGCAGGACACAGGGAAGACTTTCTATTAAGTGTTAGCTGTAGATAAGCACTGTGCTGTGCCAATGAAACATACGCTGTTCTGTGTTGTGTTTTGCACAGGGCTATGTCTGCTATAAACCCGCAGATCAAAATGCATGTTACCTGCGGAAGATGGACGATTGGGATCTTGAGAACGTGCAGATATCTTTCAATCTATCTGAGCACAGGGTGAGCAGTTACATGATTCCTGCATAGGGGTAGCTGAACCGCTGGGGGAGGAACGGACACCAGCTTCCGAAAGGCTCTCTAGAATCTTGTTAAAACCCCATTGCTGGGTGGATTTGTTTTCCTAGTGAACGTTTTTATACGTTGAACCAAGGTGATGCAAGTGAAGCTAAAGAGAACCACTAGCTCTTCCAGCTGTAAAGGAACTTTTTGGCATTTCTCCTTCAGAGAATAGTGCTGCTCGATTCTGCCTTGCGCCGGTCGCCAGGTTGGATTGTGACAGAACAGTTCAAATGACATTGGGAGGAAATGGGCGACTGAGTTTATAGCGATTTAATATTTTTTGTACAAAACATAAGGAGGGGGGTGGAAGGGCAAGACAGTGGTGTGCCGTGGGATGTGAATAACTGGACTTTAACAAACCCCAGTCCCCCTGTACTGGCTTGGCAGATTCTGTTACCTGCTAATAATAATTCTGAGGACGAAGACACAAAGGTGGTTTTGTTAGCAAATCAACAGTGAAATAAGTTTTGAGTAATGATGTATAACAACCCTCTGAACAAAATGTTAATGGATTTAATAGAGGGGAAAGCCAGATTCTGTTTCAAGAAGACAGAGGGCCCTATTTTTTGAATGTCCGAAAACAGATGCCAGGCTGTGCTGGATTTCCTTACTGCCTTGATCATGGGGGCTGCTTAACGCAGACTCATCCTTTGCTTTCCTCACCCCACTCCCTCGCTGGATAATAAGGACCATTTAGAATAAACTAACAGAGGAATGAGAGACCCCTGAGAACATCAACAAAATGCACCCAGGAAAGAGAACCCTTCAGCAGAAGCCCTCTTCTGGCTTCGAGGCCTCTGCAGGATTGTTAAATGAAACTAAAGAAAGAGTGACAGCCTCCGAGGCAGCACAGCTGGTGGTCACAGCAGGCAAACAGCAGTCTGTCTTGGTTTTAGTCCTGTCTCTGCCAGTCACTCAGTGTGGGGCCTCAAGGTCTCATCTGGATACTCTGGTGAGGGAGAGATTCTCACCTGTGTGTGTGTCAGGTTCCCCATCTGTAAGTAGGGATAGTGTGAGACTTCATTATTGTCTGGGAGGCACTGGTAGATCCTTGGGTGGAAGGCAAAGGGACATTCTCATGTGGTCTTTGCTGTTAGTTTTAAAGTGACTCTTTCCCACAGGAGGCCTCAGAGTCAATGTGGGAGACCAACATCCAAGCTCCCCTCCCCTGCAGTAGCGTCCTAGGAGGAGGGCAAGCCTCTTCCTGGGAAAACCCCTCCTGCCCCTCTCAGAAGGGTTCCACCCATCGCTCATCCTGTCCTTTCTAGCCAGAAGGAAGGTCCCTGTGAGGGGAGATTCCATAGAGAGGTCTCTGCTTGCCACTAGGGTAGGGATTGCTCTTAGAGGGTCTATGAAATGACACTTTCTTTCCTGTGATAAGCCATGCTGTGATATTCCTTTCAGGTCAATCAGCTGCTGCTTCAGAATAATCAAACCAAGTACTACCGAGAGTTCCTGGGGATTCTGCCGGGAAGACAAGCAAATGCCGGAAGCTTGGGGGAAGCCATCCAAGCCCTGTGCGAGCAGACTTCCATCTACTGGGTCAGGAAAGGGGATGGTAAGTTAGAGGAACTGCCCTTCAAAGGAGGGGAGCAGTCATTGCTTCTGAAGTGAGGATCATGGAATCAGCTGGGAACCTGGGGAAATTATGGGCAAAGTGGGGTTCAGATATGTCCTATGTGGAGATAAGAGATACTGTGAGTGACATGAGTGCAGGTTATCACTGCTGCTGGCTTGACAGCCCTGGCACGTGAAATGGTCTCTGCCTCCCCAGACAGACATAGAGCTGTGCTAGCGCGAACTTCCTCATCCTAGCATGATAATGAGCATGAACTCTGCTGAGCTCAATTTCCAGGACCATTTGATATTGGCCACTTTGCTCGGACTTTTAACAAGGGGGCCAGCTGTGATGGCTTCTATAACATGGACAAGGGACTGTCCTAAGATCCAACTACTCCTACTTCTCTAGTCACTGCACGGCTGTTAGATGTTAACGACTCCGGTCACATCAAGCTGGCTTGGTATTGAACTAGTGAGGAAAGGCTACATCCCATTTCCCCTGGCTTGAGCCACTCCGCATGCCCCAGGTGGAGGAGTGGAATAAAAATAAATAATGACCATGCCAAGGAGCCACTGCACCACCTCACTGGCTTTGCCAGTTCAATATTCACCATCTTTTCTCCCCCCTCGAAAGTGATCCATAGAAGAGCTTGTTCTGTTTTAACTAAGCTCTTCGAGGACAGAGAGCTAGGAACACCTTTACCACAGGTTTCCCATGTTTCATTCTCCAGCGGTGCAGCATTCCTACACGTGAAGGATTGTGACAGGCCAAGCTCTTCTTTCTGTGCATTTTATCTCTCTCTCTCTCTTCTTTTTTTTTTTGCAGGCCCTGGGAAGAAGCGACTCATTTACCTCTGCATTGACATCTGTTTTCCAAGCAACGTTTGCTTGTCTGTCTGCTTTTATTACCTTCCTGATTAAGCCCTGCTCCAAGGGGACTGATCTCTCCCCCCCACCCCCCATTTCGCTTTGTACTTGAATTTAAATCCTGAAAAGCCTCTGACTTAAATAAGTTAATGTCTAAGTTATTCAGATAACTACCCTCTGAAAGGCTCCAACCCTGATTTCATGATGCAATTTCAGAGGTTGGGAAAGCACCAGAAGGGTTCTAATTAAACAGGACTATTTCCAAAAACATGTTGCAGCTCTGTCAATATATATACACGTTTTATTTACAACCCTCTGCCTGGACTGTGCCCCGTAAACATGCATACAGCGTAATCACATCACATAGGGAGGGGACAGGCTCGGCTCGGGGCTGCATGTACAAGTGTACAACAAAAAAAGATTTTGTTTTGAATCACTTAACACGGTTTTTGTCTAAAATTCCCCTGCTAAGTCTGTGCAATTGACTTAAATAAAGTGACTCCAAAATGAGGAAATGGTTGTTGCTCCTCTGATCCCCTTTCAAAATGATTCATTCCAGCTTCCACCCGAGAGACTGCTGGCGTCTTCCCCGCCGCATAGAGGAACTTACAAAGACTTTCGTTGCACCCTCAGTGGTGCAGAGGCCGTATGGGGGCTCATCGAGCTACACTGTCTCCACCTTCCCTGCACTAAAAGGGGTTGAGTAAAATGCCTCTGAGTTGGGCACCCTATTCAACTACGTTTCAGTCTGTTCCCCGAGAGAAGTGCTGGGGTGAGGAAAAGGGGGCAGTTTCCTTTTACTCCAAGGAAACGTTACAGGCAATGCTTTATTCTAACAAAGAAATGGGCATCCAAGGCTGAGTCCATTAGTCAGGGTACTTGGTGCATTAAACGCCCAGGCACTTACAAAGCACCACCTACCCACAGCTCCTTTATTTTCTCTCTCTCCTTAACCCTGCTCTAGTCACGCCACTGCACGTTCCAAACCACCGATCTGAAGGAAGGCTCCTTTAAGAGCAGACATTCATCTATCTAGCCATCCATCAGGGGTAGCACTGCTACACCGAACAGAAAATTCATAGGCAACCCCAACAGCTGGAGGCTTATTCAATACTGCAGCAGTCTCAATTCAAGACAGTGCCTTCCTGTGATGTAAAAATCCAGTACAAGCTGCCAGATGATGTTTACTGGTCCTCTTTGACTTGAACAAGATAGAGTGTCACAAGGGCAATCTCCAGCTGCTTCCATTTCCTTTTGAGACAGTAATGGGAGATGTCCTGCTGCTGCCTGACTGACAGCCCTGGAGAGTGAAGGCCTCTCTCTGTCCGCAAAGGCACTGCAGGGCCAGCTTCCCTCACAACCTGCCTCAGCCCTGCTCTGTAGCAGTAAGAGGAATTCAGTCTCCATGGCCCATCCAGTCCTTTGCCTTGCTGCTGAAACTGAACAAGGAGACCAATTAGTGCCAAATGTGCTGGATGTTCGTGGGTTTGGCTGTGCATCCACTAGGATTTGGACTGAGCGCATCAGCCTATTTCACACAGGCCCTGAACACTCATCTGCACAGAACCACTTCCAGTTGCTAATTACCTGAGCTAGATGTGAACAGGCAAAGTGGAGGTGAAAGGTGCTGTGTCCACTCCCACCCACGACCCCTCTCAATTTAAGATTACTTCAGTTTTGCTTTGCTTAAAGCTGAAGCCTGTTCTCATTCCAGGCTGAATATTGCTTCTGCTGAAGATTCAGCCGTCTCCTATCAGAGAGGGGGGTTGGTTACAAATGTATGTTCCACATACTCTAGGTAGGATACTTGTCATGAGAAGGCAACTGAATGAGCAGTGGTCCCTTCTCTCCAACGCGTGCATGTTATCCCAACACGCTATCATTGAAAGCGAGGCAGACAACTGCTTTCTGGTGGCCACTGTATTCCCTCTTGATCTCGCCTGTCTCCACACACCAAAGCCTGGCCAAATTATCTGAGGAGGCTGGAAAGGGAAATGAAGAGATATTGACCACAAGGAAATGTCACACTTGTGCCTGTTTTTTCTTGCAAACATCCTTGGGAATATGTACTGCAGTGTTCCATACAGCATGGAATACTCGCAGGCAGTGCTTTGAAAATACTGAAATGGCCACACACATTTCAGGCTACCTCCTTACCGCATGGAAAAACACAATGCACGTTAGGTTTATATTAAAGCGACAAAGCGGGGGAGGTAGTATCTTTTATTGGACCAACTTCTGTTGGGGAGTGAGAAGCTTTCAAGCTTACACAGAGCTCTTCTTCCGGTCTAAAGGAGGTCAGGTCCAGACTTGAAGAGGAGCTCTGTATAAGCTAGAAAGCTTGTCTCTTTCACCAACAGAAGTCAGTTCAGTAACATATTACCTTACCCATCTTGTCTCTCTAATATCCTGGGGGCCAACACAGCTCCAACACCAGAGCAAACATGAGGCTTGTGTCTGATTAAAACAAGATGCAATAGGTTTTATGTTTAAAAAACAAACAGGTAAAAATAGCTAAGAGAATTAGTCAACTATATGGTATAGCGGAAGAGCGTATGAGTGATGGATCACATGCTTTCTGTGCGGGAGGAAGGAAGGGATCTTCCCTTCCCTTGGACCAGATGCATTTGGCATGAATGGGGGAAGTCTGCCGCTTTGAAGCATTGTGAATTGGCATCACCTCAAGCTAGAGAGGTCAACAAATCCTGTGATGCTATACAGGCCTCCCTCCCTCCCAGAGATTCTTGGGATATCCGGCCAGTGACGCATGTCTTACCGGTGACAATATACTGAGAGTCCCCAGAAAACGCGCAGTCCCACATCCAGCCACGGGAGGTTTCTCCTGGGTTGTTACTCTTAATGCTCAGCTCTGTCATTAGAGAGAAGTTTGAAGTCCTCCAGATCTTACACGTCTGGTCTGCAGAACAGGTAGCTAAGAGCCTGGGAGGGAAAGAGGGGAGAGAGACATGTACACGTTTACGATTTGGTACTATGCTTCTAAA